GTCCTAAGTCGCCCCAAATAAAATGTATTTTTCAAGGGATTTAAAGGGAATATTGCCTCGCACTTGCCTCGCAGATCACAGCGCCACCCCGTTTCGTCCTTCTTCTCAAGGTGGAAGACATACATGTACCCGCCATAAATAGCTGTTTTCGCCCCACGCTGAGTGGTGGTGTAACGAACTTCACACTAAAAGTCTTAGGACATTTTTGAGGAGATATGGGCGAGATGGGTGGCACTTTTAAGTACATCTTCAGAGACAAATTTATCCACAAATTCACACACTGTCATTGCCCATAGCTTTTGGATGTTTAAAAACATCACTTGTGTGTCTACAATATTGTGTTTACCAAGCTGCAAATTTGTCCATTAGGCTACTTTGTCACCAACACGCGGACTAATTTGTCCCCATCCCCTACTGTCGGCAAAATTGTGGACAGGTCTGTTGGTGACAATCGATTTCTGACTAAATCTACGGATAACAAAAAATTCTATTGACTTTTAGAGTGTTTGCTTGTTAAAAAGAGATAGGGCGAGATTTTAGAAATTTTGCAAATTGGGGCGAGTTGGCAAAAACTTGCAATCCAGACTCGCCCCAAAATCAGGGCGAGTTAGTCTTGAGGCGAGTTGTACCTTGGGGCGAGTTAGCCGGGGCAAAATGTCCGTCACCCTTGTGTCCCATGTTCCACAAAAGATTGAGTGTGCATGAAGATGTGGAATATCTGCTCGGACTTACCTTCAACTTGCGCCTGTCAATCCGTCGGACGAACGCTCACTCTCGGAGTCTGGGTTCACTCCACACGCGCGCACACAGCGTAGTTCCAGGGCACGACCGCAGCAGCAACGGCTCGACAGGCGCGTTCGCTCCTCGCTCTCGACTGGCACTGACTGACTGACGACTCGACGACCGACGGCTGCGCGATGCGCGGTGCGGCGCTGCGAGCGGTGGCTGCGGGTGGCTCTACTACGCCGGGGGAGGGGGTGGGGGAGGGCACCAGCAGCGGCAAATAATAGACCATTTCACCCGAGCGCTTTCCGACCTCTCGAAGAGCTAAAATACCCGCAGTCAGAGTAAAGTGTCTCACGAAATAGAGGTTTGTCGTCAATGCAAACGACAATCTACTCTTCTCCGACCTCAATAGGGTATTTTACCTGACGCTGACGCAAACCGGATCCAAAGAAGAACAAGAGTTCTTCCTGGACTCTTTTCTCCTTGGCGCTCATTGGCCGATGCCGACGAAGTTTTCGGACCTGACACTAGGGGTCGACCGCCCTTGCGGCCAGTTTATGAACTTCGTCGGCGTCAGCCAATCAGCAAGGGGGGCTACACTGTTAAATTCCTACAAAGCATTTGCTTTGCAGAGCTGCGAAGTATTTTGCTCCTTTGTAACTACGAAGCATTTACTTTGCAATTACAAAGTGATGCTTTGCAATTGCAAAGCAATGAAAACGCTGCAAGGCATCGCTTTGCAATTGCAAAGTGTCACTTCGTAATTGCAAAGCATCACGTTGTAATTGCGAAGTAAATGCTTCGTAGTTACAAAGGAGCAAAATACTTCGCAGGCTTTTAACAGTGTAGAGTTCAGGTAGAACTCTTGTTCTTCTTTGGATCCGGTTTGGTCAGGTGAAATACCCTATTTTGTCAAAAAATATATAGGTTACTCCTGGGCTCGACTACACCGGAAGGAGAAGAACGAAACTCGTCGGGCCGGTCGGGCGCGGGGAGGAGCGGGGTACTGCCTTCACCCTGCCCCGCTCCTCCCCGCGCCCGACGTTTTTTGTTCTTCTCCTTCCGGTCAAGCCGCTTCAATCTAACGTGTTTAACGACTAGGAACGTTCCATACTCTGCCCGACTTCCGGTATTTTTGTTCATCGAGAGGTCAAAAAGCGCTGGGGTGAAATGGTCTACTCATTCCGGTAAAGCTGAAAAGAAGAAGAATGCGGGGAACAACAAGACAGAAATCGCTATGCTTTCTCATGGAGCACTTCACTCTAAAGAAGAACAAGAAGACGATGGAAGGAGAAGAACAAAAATCACAGGAACTGGGAGGGACGGGGACAGCCTCTGCCCAGCCCCTCTCCTCCCTGCGCCCGACGATTTTTGTTCTTCTACTTCCGGCCTAGCCGAGCCTCGGAGTACTCTGTGAAACATTCCGCCCGACGTCTCGCGTAACAGGCTTCGCGATAGCTCACGAAACACTGTTACTAACGCATTGGCGTGAAGCTCAAACAAGGACGGTCGGACGGACACGAGAGCGGTTGCATAAGCCCGCTTTAATGCTCTTTTAAAAGGAGAAGGGCGGGGTAATAAGAAGGGGAACGACACAATGTAAGGGAGAGCGGTGTACCGTTAAAGTGTCTAGTAGGGTATTCCTCCGGGTAAGCTTGGCGTCGGAAATGGGAGGCGAAGATGGCTCGGCTAGACCGGAAGGAGAAGAAGAACAAGCTACGCCCGCTTTTCCGCCAAACCAAACTGACGTCCTAACCCTCATTGAAGTTGAAGTTGAAGTGAAGTTGCCAGCTTGGCCGGAGAGAGCTCGCACCGGACGGTCTGTCATGTGGGAGTCTGCTGTAGGAACAGAACGGCGCCCATGGGCGGGTGAGTGCACTCACTCGCCCGGAGACACAGACCGCCGGACCTGACCCCCACACGACGGTCTATCCGGTGCGAGCTCTCTCTGGCCAAGCGGGCAAGCACTCAGACTTCCAAGCGGATGTCTGGGGTTCGATACTGGCCTGTGGCGGCGGCAGCAGCCAACTCGACTGTTTTCGATTTCGTTGCGCTATTGCAGATTGTCTGCCGATGGTTAGGCACGCTCGTACTCCCGCAGACTCTACTCAAACCATACGCGGTTCGTTTACAGACAATCCGCAGACTAAATGGTCTGCGGGTGGTCTATTAGTGCTTTGCCAATGAGCAGCGAATTGTCTGCCAAGTGTTTGCACCTTATCGGGGAGTTGTCTACGAAACATTTGCACCTGATTTGGTAAATGAACCACACGGCCGACGACCTGCAAATTTTTCACAGACCTTTTCTTTGACTCGGGCGATTATGTCCGGAACCGTTAGATCACAAAAACTGCCAAAGTCGAACAAAATTTCTTAAACATAGCTAAAACTTATTTTTATTACACCTAGTTAAAAAACGTTAACACTTCTTGTTAACCATAAACGGACCCGTAGTTAAGAAAATTTCCTATTCTACAGTTTCGAGCAATATTTTATGATTAAAAGAAAAATGACTCCAAAGCTGTCTTTGTTCATATGTTGTTGTTGTTTTTGTGACGTATAATTTATGAACATGTAACTGCACGTTGGTTTGTGAGAAAATAGGCTATATATTTGAGAGCTCTGCAGCGAGCGGGCATGTAAGCGAGCGCCCGAAAGCGATGGTGCGAGTGAGAAACTCGAGCGGCGCCAGTAAACCCTCTTACTCTAATCCGCTTTCGGACGCCATGTAGGTATCCGATGCCTGCTGTTGCACGGTACGCAACGGGGCTGCCGCCCCTGCCCTGCTGAAAGAGCTGACTTAGATGGGTAGGCCGCGTACCCGGCTGAGAGCGAGTGGCTCGTCAGTCGGTGGGGGTCCGCCAGGTGACGAGCATGCCTGAGAGAGTCTCGGAGAGACCAAGCGTTGTGAACAAGGTAATCCAGACTTCTCATTCCTAGTCTCCCCATTAACCTAGAGGTCCCTCAGACCAGAACTGGGCTCATCCCTGTCAGCTACACGGTCCGTTCCCTAAACAGCTTGGGCCGGTCCCGCTGTAGTTGAACATAGTGGAGGTGAAATGGGGTTGGTTTGATCAAACTCATCGACCCATTAGTTGTAAACTGTAATTTCCTGCCCTGAGAATGACCTGGATCTCGTGGTTAGTCGAATCATTGTTTTTTGTTTAAGGCAGTAATGCTCCTTACAGGTGTGTGTGTATGTCGAGCACTTGTGTTTGTTTATGTTTAAGTCAGTTTAAAAACCATAGAATCGATACCGAGCATGTCCGGAACCGTTAAGATGGATTCAGAGTTCACAAGATGCGAGCGTGATTTACACGCCGCTAGCGTGAAAAGAGTTGTTTTGGTTAGCAGTTGACTTTATGCGACAGCCAATGACAGGCCGCCGTGGGGCTATGCCATTACTTTCAGCTGAATCAGCTTTGGAGCTAGCGTGATTTTTCACGCTTCCGGCGTGATTTTCACGCCTCCGGCGTGATTTTCACGCAGGCGTCTGCTAG